ATACATATACATTATATATATATTTATATATAAATATATATATATATAGATATATATATATGTGTGTGCATATACGTATGTAACGTTACTGCGGTATTCGGTACGTTTATAGTATAAGTGCGAACAATATCGAGTAGTGACTTTCGTGTGGGTCATCTTTGCCATACTTCAATAAACATACGTACATATACAATACACACATACAAATTACACGTCAATATGGGGGGCCTACCGGAAATAGGCTCTGTTCCCAAAATGACTGTAGCGGAGATTAAGGCCATCATGCACACGAATGGTGTGCATGTGCCGTCAGGGAAGAAGGCTGTTGTGGTTGAAGCGCTTCAAGAGTGGCTACGCAAGCAAGTGGCTTCTGGTGGGAATAATACGAACGAAGTTGTATCGACAGCGATGCCTGATATGCAAGCGTCACATCCGCATGTAGATGGTGTAGATATGATTGATAGTAGTATGTCGGATGCCTCGCAGGCCGAGCAGGGTGTGCCTGTGCCTGATGCACCTATACAACAACAACAGGACAACGGAGACACGCACGGTACGGATATTTCAGCCGCTCAGGTGCACAGTGACGAGGGTGCGGTTGCTATGGATACACAGGTGCATACAAATGTTACCGGTCATGATCCACATAACGATGTGAACGGTGATGCTACACACGATGGAGTGTCTGGTAGGGGCACACACGTACATGTAGAAAGTGGAATGATAGATGACAGCACACGTGTAGCACAGAGTGATGTAAGTAGTGCTGTAGACGGAGACGAAGAGCCGCCACTTGGCGTCCAGATGCCTGTGCATACACCAACGTTACACACACACACAAAACCTAAAAGTACAATTAAAGAGAAGTCTGAGGAAGGTGTTCCGGTGAATAGTGTCAACGGTAGTGTAAATATTAGTGAAGAACCCTCACAATCTACTGTAGATACCAGCACGGCAGAAGCAGGAGAAGCGCACGACGCAGATAGGACGAACGGTAGCGAAGCAACCCAGAGTGATAACACTCAGACGGCGACGACACAACCACAGACACAAACAGACACCCCTGCACACACTCACCTGCCTACACAAACGCATGCACCTGATACACTATCAAACATGACCTCACAGGCACAGGATGCACCCACAGAGACACAGGCAGAGACACAGGTGTTCGTAGCACCCCTACCTGTTCCAAACGTATCCACAAAGCCCACACTCTCACCCACACTCACACCCACACAACCGCAGGCAACACCAGCCACTGCAGCTGCAGCTGCACCTGCGCCTGCACCAGCAGCTGCACCTGCGCCTGCACCTGCACCAGCAGCTGCACCAGCAGCTGCACCTGCACCTGCACCTGCACCAGTAGCGGCGACTACACAGACTAAGAAGAAGGGCAAGAAGAAGAAAATTAAGCAGAAACTGCACCAGCGACTGGCGGCGGCTGAGGAGGAGCTCAGGGCAAACAAGGAGAAAGTGGAGTCATGGCGAGAGGCTGAGAGCGCTAGCAACGGGGTGGGGGCCACGATGATCTGAGCGATATAACAATCGAGTATGTGGCCGAGAGTGTGCAAGACGATGAGTTTGACAGCGTGTTTGAGCGGTTTCAGATGCAGAATAGCAGTGAGATTGAGATGGACAAGACAATTGATGCGTCGCTGGGAGATGCAGATGAGTACATTGCGAGGATGAAGAGAGCGCAGGAGAAGCTGGACGGTCAGGCCCAGGCTGGTAGTGATGACGAAACGGAGGTGCGTGCTGCTTTGTGCGCAAATACTTGTTGTTATGTGGATTGTGCTGCATGCAAATGGTGTATAAAGTTGCAGTGGTGTGTATCCTTTGCTGATAGATGCACATGTGTGTGTGCTACATACTCTGTGCAGTGTTGTGTAGTGTATGGCCTTCGGTTGTATGAGATTCTACAGACGTGCTCGCATAAATACAGCTTTCAGTTTAATTTGCAGACGGGGTTACAACTGCTCATGCAATCTATCATATACACCCATGTTTGGATGTATGGACATACATAGAGGTCCGCAAGCCTTCATTTCAATGAAATCTAGATATGTGGATGTTTACAAAAATCTGTCGCAACTTTAAATAATTACAACATTCAAATATCCCCCTGAGTGTTTAAC